CATTCATAATTGATGATTGTAGGGTACATACTCCCACTACTAAGTTGCCCCTTCCTAGGAGGCTAGGACAAGTCTACAAAGAGCCAAACAAATTACTCCGGCTATCCATCTTTTCTTGTTTACTGTACTATTTTGAAATGTTTAATAAGACTTGTTCAGTTTATAGATTTAATAAATAATTTATCATGTTGTGTTTGTTTTACTTTTAATATTAAATATTATTCATATTTCAATGTTTAGATGTCTTACATTTAATAAGAGTGATTTGGTAAAATGATTGCCCCTATCATTTACTATTTTTTAATTTATGTATCAAGTTAATAGCGGACAATTATTATTGAATAGAGAGAGTATTAATAAATTTCAAGATATAACCTCCAACCATTGAAAGTTGATATTGATATTCAAGAAGTTGTCCAGCTAGTAATATGAGAAAAAGACTTATCAATATTAGGTGCATATACGTTCGTTAAAAATATGAAAAAAGACTGATCAATATTGGGTACATATACCCTTCGTTAAAAATATGAGAAAAGACTGATCAATATTACGTACATATACCCCTCGTTAAAAATATGAGAAAAGACTGTCAATAGTACGTACATATACGCATCATAAAAATATGAGAAAAGACTGATCAATATTAGATACAAATACCTCTCGTTAAAAATATAAGAAAAGACTGATCAATATTATTTTGGGACACACCACATGCTTTTGCATATATTTTGTTGGGCAAATGGAAAAATATATCTCTTAATTTTGCTATTTAGAGCACATATACCCCTTGTTAAAAAAAATGGTGCATATATATCCTTATCGTTTAACAAATAGTGCATATATATCCTCGTCATTTAACTAATGGTGTAGATTTATCTTTTTCGACTTTTCGTTAACAGACTAATAACTTGAAATTGGTTTTTAAATTTCAAGAATGTCACGTGGCTTAATAAAATTACCTCTTCCATATTTTTACTCACTCAGACCCAACCAATTGAGAAAAAAATATTCTTCATCTATTAGACTCAATCCAAACCAAAATTTATGATTGAGTAAAAAAGAAAATGATTTTTTCATTTTGATCGAGTCTAGAGGTGTAAAAAAGTGGTGAGATAATTGTTGAACCAATGTAATATTTTTGAAATTAAAAACCAGTAATATTATTTTGGTCAATTAAGTAAAATATAAATTTATTAATAAAAAAGATAAATATACACATTTATTAGACGATATAATGTATATTTACTACTATTTTTTTTACCAAACAATATAGCTATTTTAAATCGCAAAATGGAGGGATATATTTACCCTTTTTCCCCTACAAATGGTCTCACTTGTTTCAAGAATAGGGTGAAATTCTTTTTCAGCGAAAAAAAAGAAGGTAAAACTTTTTAAGTTTTTTTTTAAATGCAAGAACTAAGAAGGTTAAAAATGCACTTAGCTAATTATGTGAAATAGATAATTTTATATTCCATTTAAAAGATGTATCTTTTCTAACTATTTATCCTTTATGGGCTAATTATAACAACTTCTAAAGGGCAAATTTAGGTAGCTGGCTTGGAAATGAGGTATGCAAAAATATTGAATACTTTATAAATAATATTATGTATTATACTTAGTTAAAAAGTATTTCGTTACTTCTATATAAAACTAATATGATGTTTTGTAATACAGAAATTTGCATAACTAATATATGTATTATTTTAAATAAGCTACAAGATGAAATAAGTATTAATACATATATAATTAATATGTACATTACTAATACTTATATAACTCTAACTAAATATCAAGTCTACAAATTAAGAGCAAAACAAATTATTAAATGAACTTTAAATATAACCTCCCAACTACTGAAAGTTGATGCTGATGTTCAAGAAGTTGCCTAGCTGGTAATAAATACATTCTTTGGTATTAAGGTTTAACAAAGAATATGCTCACTCTCTTAAAAGCGAGTTAAAGATAAAAAAAAAAGTCTAATCCATCGATAGCCACCTAAAGTTGGCATCAATTTTCACTTAGACACCTTAATTAGGTCTTGTTCATTTTTTAGACAACTCATGTCATTCCCTCGCTGCATCTATTTGACACTTTTTGTTGATGTGTCATAGTGAGTGTATCACACTCGTTTCTGACGCATGAAAAACTTGTTCAATTAAATTTTATTTTATTTTTTTCTTCTTCTTCCCCAATTTTTAACTACCATCTCCCAAAACTTCAACTCCTTATGTGGAGAAGTATATTCGATAGTGCTAATTAGTTAAAACAAAAATAACTAAAATTATAATAGATCAAACTTTAATTAATTTGATTATGAAAAAACATAGAACCGACAGAGAAAACAAAGAAGGGAGATTGAAGAAAATGATCCTACGTGAGTCAAGAACTGATCATAAACTTGAAAAGAAGAATTTAAGTGAGAAGACGATTTGGATGGGGGAGGGTGGGGGTTCGGGTGGTGGGGCTAGTGGGGAGAATGATTTGGGTGGAGGAGGGGTTGGAGATCGGGTGGTTGGGGTGGTTGGGAAGATGATTCGGGTGGGGGGAGGGATTGGGAATCTGGGGTGGGGTACTAGAGAAGAAAATCTCTAAAATGAATGCCACATGTCTTCATTTAATTTGCCACTTTGGCATGTCATCAACGAGTTTGTTACACACACCTTACATATTTGGTTGATTGTCAAGAAAATGTCAAAACGACATAGTGGGCATGACATGAGGTGTTTAAAATGAATAAAATCTATTTTAGGTGTCTAAATCAAAATTAGTGTCAACTTAAAGTGGTCACTCATGGGTTAAGCCAAAAAAAATAAATATGAAAAATAACTGATTAATATTAGGTACATGTCATTTGTTATATATTTTGGGACACACCACATGCTTTTGCATATATTTTGTAGGGCAAATGGGTAACTATACCTTTTAATTTTGTTTATGTAGAGCATATATATATCATCGTTAAAAAATTATGCATATATATTTGGGAAAAGGGTCAAAATTACCCCTCAACTTTGTTTTTTTGGTTGATTTTATCCTTACCGTTAAAAGCAAGTTATTTTTACCCTTGCCGTCAATAAACTTAACAAATATACCCCTCCTTGGACGAAAACCCCCAAATCAATTGAAATTATTCAATTTCTTTTTTAACCCGAACCAGAACCCAACCCACTAAACTAAACAAAACCCATAACAAATAAATAAATTATAAGCAAATACAATTGTGGTCTCAAATTGCAAGAAAGCTTTTAGTTAGAATAATGAAGAATTATTTTCTTTCAGGTAGAGAGAGATATAAAATAGTTTGGTGAAAATTTTTAGACCTTGATCTAAATGTTAGGGTCATGAATATTTATTGTTTTTAATGAATGTTCCTTTTTTTCTCTTTTAAGCATTAAATTGTTTTTAATGAATGTTCATTTTTTTCTCTTTTAAGCATTAAATTGTTTTTAATGAATGCTCCTTTTTTTTTCTTCTCTTTTAAGCATTTAGAAGGGGAAAAAACTAAGTAAAATTTAGGGCAGAGGACTTTCTGTAAAAAACTTGATAATAATATTAACTTTTAAAGTTATACATAATATAAGGTAGGATAAAATAATTTGGGATGGTTTGGTATGGATAAAAACAAGTTATTCGTATATTAATTTTCGTATAACTTTTAAGATAGTTGGTAGGTAGATACGCATAATAATTATGCTTAAAAGGTTTTTATTTTGTGCATTTTTAAATATATATTTATTATTATAGTGCATTTTCTCTAATTTTAGAAAGAAAAGACATAAGAAAAAGGTGATACATGATTGAAAGCTAATCAATTACAAATAAAGTAATAATAAAAAGCACATGTTCATCTGATTCATGCAAAAAGATGAGGGGCTTATAAAAGTATAAAAACAATTACATAATTATTATTTATTAGTTTTGTATTTGTTCTTTTCCCTTCTAATATATTTATATAAAGAAGAGACTCATATTTCGGAAAAGACACTAATTAATTCAATACAAAAAAGCTAAAGACAGTTAGTTAATGGATCAAACACTAGTTACATATATTTCTCTATAAATGGCAAGTATTCAAACATTCTAAATGTCATTTGAAGATCAAAACTTAATCAAGCTTAAAATCCTTTTATGTTTATATTTGAAGAAGAATCAAAAGAAATTATAGATATTTATTTTAACATTTATTGTATAAGTTAGAAATCATAGCCGAAATCAAAGATTCAACCACTCAATATTCAAATTGTTCAACAAATAAGTCTACCTATAGATATTGATAAATCATTCTAACTTTTAATTTATTATCAAATTTGTTGCAAATTGATTTGAAACCATTTGAACTTATCTTCAATCTCGTTCAATCATTGAATTGATGGACCATTAAATCATAAGCTCTGATACCACTTGTTGGGTTCGAAAGAATTAGGGCATCATGCGGAAACTTATTATGAGACTAAGTCAGATGACAAAAACTATACTAAAACATAATATAATTATATGATTTGGCCAATTGGCCTACAACTAATATATATTTTTTTATTAAAACTGTTGAGAGAAAAATCTCTCCATAAACAAAATTCTTAAACGTCTACATTGTGGATGCTATTGTGTTCTTGGTATGAGAAAATGTTCTTCAATTTATAGGGTTCCATACATTTTCTCGAAGAAAAGATAACCAAATATGGAAGAAAATTATATTTTTTCTTTAAAGCATTTATGGTAATACTTTAACTTTCCTTTAAAAAAAAAGTAAAACTCAAATATAATAAGAAATCAGGACAAAACCGTAACGAAAAGAATATGTACACAACTTTTTTTATTTTTTCATTTATAAATAAAATTTATATACATCATACATGTTTCAAGTAAAACAAAAAAAACCCCAAAATGCACTTAAACCCACTCTACATGCCTAGTCTATTTCTACCACAACAATAATATACATAATTTAATCTTTATTTTTGTGGAATAAAAAATTAATTTCGATAAACTATTTCCTTAATTGTAATATTTCCAAAACTACGACAAAAGCCAAGCTACCAAATCACTCTGCATGGGATCAATATTTTCTGGTGTTGCTTCTTTGTTCATACAGTTCTGCATATTGTCATTAATGTCACATAGTGACATATTATTATTATTATTCCCTAGCTCAGCTTCTTTAGTACTATTTGTCCATATTTCATTATTCAATACTTCACCTAAATATTCCCAATCCCAACAATCAAGTTTACCATAATTATCCTCACTTAAGATTTCATTATTATTGTTATTATTATTATCATCATTAGCTATTTCAAGATTTTCTCCTTCTCCGTCCCATAAACAATTTGTAATAAAATCTTGATCTAGCTCTCCATATTTATCGTCCATTAACATAATATCGTCATCCCATAACATCTTGTCATCAGTACGATCAAACTCGATGTCATTATTAACTGTAATTTCATTTGTAGAATTTGAAACGCTAGTATTTATTTTTCTTCTGCGTCCTCGTTTGCTAATACGTTGTTGTGTTCCTTTTTTAGCTAATTCAACAACTGCTTGTGGTAGCTTTTCATCACTTGGAATTCTTAAGCTATCTACTTTTCTGCTCAAATGAGAATTCCAATAGTTTTTTATTTCATTGTCTGTTCTACCTGGTAAATGTTCAACTATTAAAGACCACCTGCAAAGCAAATTAAACATTCATATTTAAAAGATATTTACACAATTATATAATTTATAAAACATTATAGTTAATTTCTAAGAATAAATACTAAATGTTATTTGATAAAACTAATAACTAGTTAATTTATCATCACACTGTAAAAAAATATTTTCACTATCATAAATATGACTTAAATTTGATGAGAAAAGAAATGTATTTAACAATTCTACATACTCGTATTTAAAAAGGACTTCTATTTAATTATTTAAGAGATAATTACCATCATATCAAGTGGAATTATTTATTCTAAAAATTATACAGATAAAATAAAAATTAATATATATAGAGAGTTAAATTATACCATATTTCCTTTTTTTTTTCTTTAAATAGTGTAATAAATCAAGGGACTAAAAAAATATTCATCAATACCAAAAAAATTAGCTAATATATTTTAATAGCATAATATTTTAAGGATATATCAATGGTCTATCAAATATAACGTCTTTATTATATAAAAAAATCTAAAGTCTATTGAAAACGAACAAACCTGTTACCCAAAGTTGCACGCAACTTGATGATTATAGCTTCTTCGTCAGAGGTTATGTTACCCCTCTTCAAATCAGTCTTCAAATAATTAATCCATCTTAATCTGCAACTCTTTCCACATCTTAGTAACCCTATTAAAGAGCCACAAAAATAAAATTAAAAAGTAATTATTTATTATTCACTTTGCAACGAAACGATGAACACATAACTCAGTAAATATTTCTAACTCAATCACTAATTGGCTCGTAACAAATGATGGAGTAAAAAATTTAACTCAAAGTGTTAAACTACAATATACAAAACACATGGCAAACAATGTCCACCTTACTAATTTTTAGTCTATATAGCACCACCACTGCTTCTGACAAAGATGTTGGTCTAAATAACTCAAAAGTACTCTTAAAATAGTGTGATATTAATTAGCCGACTTAATCCAAAGTCATACAGTTTTCCCAAAAAGTCTCACACCATATATATTAAGAGTTTTCCTATACATTATACATTAGTTTATATTTCTATTTATGATGTTAATATATAAAATTTTGTTTGCATACTCAATTAAAGAATCTAGTATAAAAGGAACGTATTGAAAGTAAACAAAAATGGAATCTCTCACTCGATCGCCAACCGATTTTTCTATAAATAAAAAAGAAAGAAGTTAACTTTTAGATGAGATAATTACACACTAACGGTATGTATTAAAAAAATGTTAATTACCAGCATTTTTGGGTAATGACCTCCAAGAACCTTCACCATTAGCTTGAATATAGTTGGTGAGGATTTCATCTTCTTCTGAAGTCCATCTCCCTCTCTTAAGACCTACTTTCTCACAACAAGGTGTTCTTCCCATTCTAAGATATTTGATAAGTGAAGAAACTGCAAACTAATGAACCCCCCAAACATAATGTCAATAAATAGATAGAAGAAACAAGTAGTTTACTAATTAACCCCACCTCACCTACTCACCTCTTCCTATTTTTATGGTGGTGCTAATTTGGACGTATGTAACAATGCAACCTTTCATTTATCTTGATGTATGTACGTACTTATGTGATTTTCTTAACTATTCGAAATGGTCTTTTATTTTACAAAAATAGGAATAAAATTAGTATAAAAACCTAAATTCAAGACACCTTGTTGTGAAGAAGTTGCATCACTTAGTTTTTTTTCTTTTTTGTGGCTTAACACTGAATATCCAAGTGTCAAATACAACTTTAACGATTATAAAAGCGGCTTCCTAATGACACATATATAAGTTAAAATCTACCGTCTGATACAGATTTGACAGAATCCAGTATCTTTAACGTCTCAAATTTATTATTTTTCTTTTAATATAATAAAAGGTTGAGCCAAAATTTGGAACCTATGACATAATTGTTGACAACTTTAAGGATAGGACACATCTTTAAAGGTAACAAAACATTATTATAGACGTGTGGACCAAATTAAAAAATGGAAGATTTTGCATTATGTGTCACTCGTAGAGTTAATTGTTTGGAGATGGAAGCTAAGAGACCACACAATATAGAAAGCCGTGGCGTGTGCACCGTCAAGTGCTCTGTCTACCACGTTGTTTCTTCATTCATTGCTATTACTGAAAATTATACTCTATATTATATACACGAGAAATTTTAATAACTCAATTAATTGGTTATTTAAATTTTCATTTTTGTTAATTTTTATTTATTAATAAACGATTCAATTTCCTACCTTGTAATCTCTGTCTCCAATTTCTCTTTCATCTATCACTAATTTAGAAAAAAGAAAAAAAAAAGTAGATGTTGATTTTTTTTTTACTTTTTCTATATTTTACCTTGTTATAATTTGAATCTCTTCCATGAAAAATTAGGATTGTATTTAATTAAAGTGAATGAATTTTCATTTATCGCATAGTTAGTGCGGAGTAAAGAAAGCCAAAAAAGGGTTTTATATAAATTATTATTGAATCCCCATCATTGAATAATTATATTATGAAAATAGTTATATATAAACTATTGAATTGTCTTGAAATAAGTGAATATTTTGGTGTAGTTACTAGTGACAACGAGGAATAAAAAAAATATTTAGATAAATAAGTTAAATTGTTGAATTGTCTCGAAATAAGTGAATATTTTTGTGTAGTGACTAGCGACATAGAAGAATCAAACATATTGACATGAAATATACAAATATGTCTCAATTTTGGATGTATACAAGTAGACATTTAATTTTTTTTAAAATTGAATAAATAGATGTATTTGTTCTACGTGACAATCTTATGTCATGTTGTGTGGTGTTCTATGTGTATTATGTCACGTAAGATGTGTGTCTACTTATTTAATTTTATATAAGTTTAAGTGTCTACCCGTGCATATCTAAAGTTGGAAGGCGTAACTATCAGCTAAAAGCCTAAAACCAAATTAAAAGACATATTTATGTATTATGACAAAAATATATAGATAAATAAGTTAATTTGCACCACATCCCCCTTCTTCTTTTTAATCATGGTTTATCTGGAATTTATTAATTCAACTAATTTAGATTTATAATATGTCGTACTACTCTTAAGGAAAAGGTCTTCTTATATCAAAAAAATCTTATTTATCCCATGATTAATAATAAAACAAACTAGTGGAGTATTTCAATAAAATCTCCTCCATAAAAAAATCATAATATATAAATAAAATAAAAATTACTATTATGTTTTTATGCGTACACGAACGATTGAATCTCTCTGATATTAGAAAATACTCTTAGTATATAGACTATAGTGATGAAGTGGGTGTAATTTTTTTTCCTAAATTACAAATTCAATCATATATTTAATACCTTAGTAATTTTTTTGAATCTTTATACGAATAATATGAATATTCCATAACTCAAGAAGTGACCACAAATTGATGGCCTTTCTTTTTCCTATCACATATCTTATTAATGTTTCCATTTACTAATGGGTACATCTTGAACTTTATTGAATTTATTTTTCTTGGTTGTTCTTGTAATTGTGGTCCTATATATTTATACGAACTAGATATTATTTCAAGTTTGTCAAAGGATAATATTATTAGTCTTAGTCTTTTATTAATAAAATTTTATTTATAAAAAATCACATTTTGAGGTAATTTTTTTTTAATATATTACCCTTATGTAGAAATGAGACTTCAAAAGGACCAACACTGCATTATTTGATTGTACTAAACGCAGTACTAATTGTACATTTTAGAAAGGACCAACACTGCATCTTTGTATTGTACTAATGGTAGTACTAATTGTACATCAATATAATAAATAAAGCCACTTTCTCTAGAACTTTCTTGCTATATCTGACCAATTTCTAACCCTAATTTGTCGCCTCCTTCGTAAAGTCCGACTATTCTCTCAACTCTTCCTTCTACTTCTCATCTCTTCAATGGCGAATCCGTCTGCTCCTTACTTTTTCCTGTTTGTCTACACACTTTAAATCTGTCTCTCAAGCTTTCCTGAAGATCTCTGTTTGTTTCGAACGAGCTCCGCAGCTGCTTCTTCATGCTTTAAGTTTCTGACCTCCTTGGTAAAGTTGTTGTATTCTGTCAACTCTTCCTTCTACTTCTGACCTCTTCAATGGCGAATCCATCTGCTGCTTACTGTTTTCTGTTTGTCTACAGAGTTAAAATCTGTCTGTGAAGCTGTCGTCAACATTTCTCTTTGTTTCGGAAGACCTGCGCAGGTATTTCTTCGTCGTTTAAGTGAAATTTACAGGTTTGCTCCATCATTTGCTCTTTCTCTTATTCGTAATTTGTCTTCTGTTTTCCTCTTTCTCCGATTCCTAATTTGTCTTTTGTGGAGCATATTAAGCCATATTATACTCTATCTATGTATGTGCTGCAAACTTCTGATCAATAATTGCATGCATTTGTCTGTTGCACTGTCGTCACCATCGAACCACCATAGTCACTACTTGGTCATAACAATTTTACATTAAATTTGTCAATATGTAGTTAACACTGCTGATAATTGTTAAAGTATCTGTTAATTAAGGTACATTTGTCTTGATAAATTCGACCTGCATATTTACAGATAAAGTCGACAGAGAGACGCATGTCAAAATAAAATGTTTGACAAATATTTGGGACAAGTAGATACATTGTTTGTTGCAAAAATGTATTATAGAAGATGAAATTGTTACATCTTTTGTACTTACTGTGTGTCAATATTCGTTGTGCTTAACAGGATGGGAATGTATTACCTGCTCTACATTGTTCTTCTGTTGTTACCCGCTTCAATTGATTTCATCAATAGGTTAGACTATTTGGATGGAATATTTCTGCTGGTTCAATCACATTATACCAAGAATACCACCTCAATTTCCCTGGTTAAACATACTGTCATTTGTCACATATGTTGTATCCCCGCATGTTTGGTATTCAGAGCTTCTATATGTCTTTGCTTTCTTTTGCCTAAATACTTGTCCAAACAAATTCCTTAGCAAAACCAAACAAAATATTTCATGTAATATAATTAATGATTCTTTCCATTTGTCCCATATGTATTTGTAACTTATTTCATATTGAATTTCCTGCAATTAAATATTCGTAAATACTCACTTTATTTCACAGGTAATTGGCTGCAACTCAACGATAGAAATATCAGTGATACAGAACAGCCTGCTGGCTTCGCAGCAGCCTCTTCATTATCACCACCTTAGAAGGATTGGTTCAAATGCTGACCCAAGCTGTATATACATGCTAGCCACTCCACCAGATTCAGAATCATCGCAGACGTGATCGTAGGTACCTTATATGTTTTCTCCCATCATCTATACGCTTTTATACACCCAGGAGATATTCACTCATATTGTACTTCACCTGTAACAAAAACTTCTGGAATAGACTCAGAATTCTTATCTTCCCCATCTATACTATTGAGTGCAGTAGGAAACTCTCTCATAATGGTACTAGGATGAATTTTTCGTACTTCATTTCTACTCCTAATTTAGTACTTCTCTTATTAATTTACTTACCGGTGTTTCCACATGACTTTTACTTCAACTCTTTTAATTATCGTTTTGCCTTTCTTCAATTTTCCGGTTTTCAGGATACTCCAAATTGTCAGTGGGTATTAAAAATCATTACCTGCTCAAAATATTTCATGTAATATATTTAATACTTCGTTTCAGTTGTTCCATGTGTAGTTGTAACTTCATTCATGCTCAATTCCCTTAAATTGAATGCTCCTAAATACTAAATCCCTTTTGTAGGAGATTCCCTGCAACTGCAAAATAAAAATACCACTCATACACAACAGCCTGCAGGGTCTGCAGGAGCCTCTTCATTATCACCACCTTACAGGGATTGCTTCAACTTCCCGTGCAAACTCTATATACACGCTAGCCACTCCACAACATTCACATACATCCCACACGTGATCGCAAGTATCTTATATGTCTTCTCCCATGATCTATACAATTTGATACAACCACCAGCTATTCTCTCATATTTTACTTTGCCCGTAACAAAAAAATTCCAAATACAGTCAGAATTGTTATCTCGCCCATTCGTAGTATTCACTCCAGTAGGAAAGTCTCTCATAATGCTACTAGCACCAATTTATAGTACTTCCTTTCTTCTGCTAATTTACTACTTCTCATACTGATTTAGTTTCCATTCTTTGTGCATCACTTTTCATTCAACTGTTTTAATTATCGTTTAAAGTTTGTCTGACTTTCTCTTTTCCTGGATAGTCCAAATTGTTAATGACTATTCAAACTCATTAACTGCTAGGCCTAGCATTGTAGGGAAATACTTGCTTCTAAGCTTATCGTTACTTTGTTTCATTCGCTTATCATTTCTTCTTTCACAATTAAATATCTTCACAATATAAAATCCAAATACA